AGTTTGAGTGTCTTGATTTAAATTATGTGAAATATGATAAAAAAGAAAGCTGGAATTGTCCACTAGTTTAGAAGTGGAAGTGTTGGAATTAGGTGTAATATGCATATGAAAAGGAAAATAGGTTTCATAAAATATTACATTTCTAGTAATGAAAATTTTACGAGAAGCTAAGTCATAAAGAATATAGCCCTTAGTTCCTTCTTTAAATCCAATGAAAACGGACTTTCTTGCACTATGATCAAACTTAGTTTTGTGGATATGTAAAGTAAATGCATAACATAAGCAACCAAAAGATTTAAGATTAATTAAAATAGGTAGCTCTTTATGAAGAATTTGATAAGTTGATTTGTGTGATACGGTGGAAGAATCGACTGTTTATACTGGTTTTGCGTTTGTGTTCACAAATATTGCGGTAAGCAAGAGTCGCCATCGACTTTTCTTTTATCCAACAAAGGAAAGGGTGAAAAGAACAGAAAAAGACCTTTTCAAGAGTTTTCTGAGTAAGGGGGTAGATTATGGAAAGGGAAGGTGTTAGCACCCTTTCCATCCATAGTTTTTTAAAGGGTAGATTATGGAAAGGGAAGGTAGTTTTCTACGGGCTCTTAGATGCTTAGCTCATTTGAAAAATACCTTGTGCTTTGTGTGTTTTTTGAAAAAAAGTATTTTGAAATGCCAATAGTCAGGCAATTTTCTTTATGATAAATCTTGTATCAGTCTTCAAGAGTGTTGATAAAGCGTTTTGAAAATTTTTTTGGAAAGAGTATTGTGTATGTGTGGAAGTTTGTTTTGAGCAAGCATCTAACAGCTATCTACTTGTACTCGAAAGGTCGTTCTTTTCCCCTTCTCCTTTAGATAGTGCTATCCTACTATTAGTGAGTAGGTATCCCTATCGTTGGATGTTTGAGGGACATTCGAAGGGACGTTTATAGTCACAAAGGCAACTTGGCAAGAAACCTTAGTAACTACCTTAGGGTTTTAAGATCGTACTGAGGCAACATCGAGAGGGTCATTTTGATCTTTCAAACCAGAGGGTAGCCACTAAAGCCTCTCACGTTTCTAGAGTTGTGACTGTTTTTGAAGGCAACCAAAGTGGTGGTACCCTAAAGGTGTGCATGTGAGAGTGTATTGTGTTTCAGTTATTTGTCTTGATGTTATATTTACTAACGTTGGTTTTAATTCTTGTCATGTAATCCTATTACCATACATCTAACAGTTAATATGTACATGAAGTAAAAGTGTGGAAATGTAAATCCTAAACTACTACAAGGCTTCGGGGATTAATTACATGTCCAAAATTTGGGAAAAATAAAGAAAAGCGATAAAGGAGTCCTAGTTAATTCTATTACATCCCATAAGCAAGTACATTAATATGAAAATAAATAAAGCAATAAACGCGCGCGACGTCTAAATCCTAAGTGAAAGGAAATCTTTTTGTTTGTTTTTATTTTGGGAAGATGATTTAATTAAAATCCTAAGTCTATATAGTTTTAAATTAAAGAAAGCGTTAAAATAATTAATTAATTAATTAATTAATTAACAAATTTTATTTCAAAAAGGAAACAATAAGCCTAATGTTTTTTTTTATGATTTTTGATTTTAATGTTGATTAAAACTAGAAGAAATAAAATAATGAAAACAAACAAAATAAATGGACCAAGCAGTAAAAAAAGAAAGGGTGCAAATTGAAATTGGTCAGGCTCAATTAAGTTGGCCCAGGGTGTGTTAGGATCAAGTGAGGACACATCTGGAGAGTCCACGACGGGGGACTGCATGCTGGAGGCGCTGGATCCATGTTGTATGAATCTGATGGTGCTGACGGTAGAGTGCATCGTGCGCATGTTTGGACTTGAAGCGCCAGATCTGCCAATATAACATGAGAAAAATAGAAAGGCTGAAGCCTGGGATTGAACCCAAGTCCTCTATCCCATCGCGTGCTTCTTCACCACCCAACCATCTGCTTCAATTGTTAGTACAAACAATAAAACAACAATATATTTGAAACCCATTCAGAAATATGTTTGAATAAAACAATAATATGCCATGGCTGAATGAAGCAGTTTCAAATGCCTAAACAATGGCAGATTTTTATCCTGATGTCAGTATTCACATGTGAGGATTGTAACATACACAAACACGTTAGAACGATAAAAAATTGTTTGAATTAAGAGATTGGATTTCGAAATTTATACCTATGGTTGGTATACTTCGATCTGCAGTTTTTAGTATGGAAGCAGTTTGGTGAAATTTGGAGAAAAGTTTGTGTGATTTTCTGGGGTAGCTTCTTGTGTATAGGCGTTGCGTGTGTGTATCTGGGGTAATGTTTTCATATGGCTAATGCGTGTGTGTCTGGAAAAATGTTTATGTCTCCTTTGCAATGTGTCTTTAGCTCTATATTTATAGGAGTGCAATGGTGAATGAGAATGGCAAGAATCAGCCATTAATCATGGCTTTGAAGGCAGAATCGAAGGCCTTTAAAAAGTTTCCATTTTTGATGATTTCCTACCCTTTCGGGTTTTGAATGAACTTGGATAGGTTTCTCATCTTGACTCCTTCGGATTCCCTCAAGCCTTATTCTTCGATTGTCTCTAAGTGGCTTCTTCGATTGAGTCCATCTACATTGGTTGTTTGATCTGGAAAATTCTCCTATTAGCCCAATCGAACACTTCCTTCTTGCATGTCGAAGCTTCATTTTGTTATTTCCTTCAAATGTAATTGTGCGGGAGGCTTGGGCTTGGCAGCATGTAGGACTTTGGTCAGCAAGCATCTTGAACCAGACTCATCAAAAGACAAAACAAAACTTGTTTCCAATAATTATGTGTCCTTCGAATGGACCAATTGTATGTCCTTCGAAGGCACCACTTGTGTGTTCTTTGAATGGGCCACCAATATATGTCCTTCGAATGGGCCACCAATGTATGTCCTTCAAATTCATGTTCTTCGAATAGACCTTTTGAATGTTCCTTCGAATGGACCATATTATGTGTCACAGTGTAGAAACTGTGTGTTGAAGGGTTTAGAGGTGGAGTCAAAGCTAGTATGAGGGAAGCCATTATTTTGTGAATTGAAGCACGCATGAAAGAAGTTCTTGCCTTGTGAATCAAAGTCAGGTATGAGGGATGTACTTGCCTTGTGAATCGAAAGTAATCCTGAAGGATGTACTTGCCTTGTGAATTAAAGGCAGACATGAAGGAAGTATTTTCCTAGTGAATCGAAAGTAAGCCTGAAGGATGTACTTGACTTGTGAATCGAAAGCAAGTTGCTTCAAAGGAATCCTTTTCATTGTGGAAGCTTTGGAATCGAAGCAAACTTGATCTTTATTTGATTTGATGCTTGAGAGCACAATATGACTATATGGAAACTATATGGGGAATCAAAAATTCAATTGTACTTGTGTAAACTTGGACTTTTGAAAATCCTTGTGAGAAAATGTCTTGAGAAAAGTGAGGAAAAATTTTGGGGTACAACAATTTGTTTGAAAGAACGGGAGTAGGTATTCTATTTATTAAGTGTACAACATGTTGGACAATAAAATTCCAAAGCGATTTTGGAAGATTTGCTTGAAAGAATAGAGCTCTAGCAACATTCAATATATGTTGATGCTTTCTTTCGACTATCCCATTTTGTTGAGGAGTTTCCACACAAGTTCTTTGGTGGATAATTCCTTTACTTGAAAGAAAACCATGCGTCATAAACTCAACGCCATTGTCACTTCTTAAACATTTTAGTTTAGTGCTAAATTATGTTTCAATGAATGAGATGAATTTTATTAAATGTTTTCTAGTTCCAGCTTTGGATTTCATCAAAATCACCCAAGTGAATCTACTAAAGTCATCAACTAATGTAAGAAAATAATTATGACCGAGAACATATGAATGAGAATACGGACCCCAAATATTAGCATGAAGAATATCAAAAGCATGAGAAGTTTGAGTAACACTACTAAAATGAGGCAACTTTCTTTGTTTAGAAAAATGACAAATGTCAGAAGGAACTTTATCTTTATTGAAATGATTAAAGGGAAATTGGGAGCATATACATTAATGTCTAAAAGAAGAAATATGTCCTAATCGCATATGCCATAAGGCAGAATCAGAAACAACATGTGGATTACAATTTGAAATAGAATGAAAAGGTGTGAAGAAAATCGAATTAGGAACAAACTTTGTTGCTTGCATATCAATTGTGTATAAACCATCAACTAATCTAGTTGTACCAATCATCTTATTGGTATTATCCTGCAAAAAAAAAAGAAGATTCAATAGTAAAACAACAAAAAAAATTATTTTCTCTAACTAATTGGGGAACAATTAAAATATTAGTGTGAAAGTTTGGAAGAAATAAAACGTTAGTAAGCTGCAGATCGGGAGAAAAATAGGCAGTTCCAACTAAACTGGAAGTTGCAATAGTATTGTTTGGCAGGTGAATTGTTACAGACTTGATATGGTGGATATTAACGAGTAAAGAAATGTTGTTGGTGATGTGATCTATGGCTCCGGTATCGATAATCTAGGAGAGGGAGAGAGAGAGTTCTTACCAAAATCAATGTTTGAGTTAGTGTTTAGGACAAGTGAATAAGCAGAGTTGGAAGTGGGTTGAATGAAAGTTGTGTTGGTAGAATGCATTTTAGAGGACGGTTGTTGCTTTGAAGTTTGAAGTAACTCCATAAGATTATTTTATTTCTCTTGTGTGAAGGAAAAACCAGTATTGGATTTCTTAGAGGTAGAATAGGATTGAGTTGGTTCTGCATTATTCCCAGCTGAAACTAAATTCACAAAACTATTTGAGTGTCCTCTATGGTTGGTTCTAGTTTGATAACCTGGAGGAAATTCGTGCAAGAGGTAGCATGTATCCATTGTATGATTGGTTTTGTTACAATGAGTGCATAGACGATTCCGATATGATGCTCAACCTCCACCATTAAACCTTTCACGACCATGGTGATGGTAACCTCCACGACCTCGGGAAGAAGCAGCATTGATAGATGCATTAACGTGCAACTTTTAAGTGTTAGACTTTGATTCACCATCAGTTTCAGCAATAACAGAAATGTGAAATTGAAGTTCTTGTTGAGTGACGAGTGCAAAAGCTTTGGCAACAGAGAGAAAATGATCCATTAATAGAATTTGAGATTGAACATGAGAGTATTCATCATTTAGCCCTTTCAGAAACCTAATTGTATAATCCTGGTCTCTTAAGGTTTTCAAGGATTGAACTGCTCCACAAGAACATTGAATAACACATTTACATGTAGGTAGTGGATGGAAATTTTCTAACTCATCCCATGACGATTTCAACTCAATATAATATCGAGAAACATCAAGGGTTCCCTGAGACATTCTACATATATATATATATATATATATATATATATATATATATATATATATATATATATATATATATATATATATATATATATATATATATATATATATATATATATATATATATATATATATATATATATATATATATCAGCAATTCCTAACATATCACCATGATCAAATCGAGCATGCAGATCTTGCCAAACGTCATAAGCTTTGTGGTAGAAAGCAATGGATTAGCGGATATTCTCTGAAACTGAACGCTGAATCCACGCAAGAACGAGACTATCACACCGATTCCACTTATTGAAAATATCATCAGATTTCGATGGAATTGTAATCGTTCCATCAGAAAAAACGATCTTGTTCTTCGACATTAAAGCAAGGCACATCGATCTAATCCAAGATTGAAAATTAGGGTTTCCTTCTAAAGGGGGTGAAACAAGATCGATTGAAGGATTTTCACTAGGATGAAGAAAGAAAGGATTTGATACATTCATAGGGAAATCAGCATACGAATCAAAGCTCGGATTCGTCAATTTTGATGAAAAATTGAAAGAGTTTGAAACGATACACGAGATGTGATGAACAAAAAGAAAAATGACGGATCCAAATCTCAATAATTGAGCTCTGATACCATCTTAGTATCCAAGAAAAGATATAAAGAAGAAGAAGAAAATTCCACTGTGAATCAATTAATTGAAGTATTATTTTCTGATACAGTAGACACAATATACACCAAAACAATATATACAAGATGTGCTACACTTAACAACTAACTGGAAATTTGTTATGATTAAATAACTATGATAACTATATAAAGTAATAAGACTAATATTATTAATAAAACTAAATGTTTGGTCCAAATTCAACAAAATTGCTCCAATAGTTAAGATTTTAAGAAAAATGATTCAATTTGCCTCTAAAATGATGTGTTGGCACGAGAAAACCAAATGACACAAAAATATTTTCCAAAGACTTAGATTTTATATATTACATATATTCTTTGATACACTAGTGAAGAGGTATAAAAATTTTCAATTTAAAAAAATAATAATAAATAAATAAAATATAAAATTGAAATATTTAAATAAAAAAATATAGGGATGAAGAGATAATTGTTAGACTATAAGATAAAGTTTTCGAACATGATTTATGTGAATTTGGGGTCCATTGGTATAATTTTAATTCATGGTTGGGTCAGAATGAACCAGTTGAATGATGGCCGTACTGTAGAAAGACTGTACGATTCGTAGTTTGTGGTTCTTTTCATGATGACGTAGAGAAATACGGGAGTCACGCAAATCCACAGATTACTTCAACTTTATAAAGATATTATTTTTATTAACTCAATCATTATTTTCATTTATTCTGTGTATAACAAATTTAAACAACTATTTCCAAACAATATCTATTGATTAATATCAGATCTTTACTGCAAGATTTCAGTTTATATATATTATAGATAAATGCAACTAAATCCGTCTTTAACAATAATGGTTTTAAAAAATTACTTCTTCTATGATTTCTAATAGATTATTATTCCCTCCTCCAGACTGATATATAAACAACTTTATAAAAAAATTCACCCTTTAAAAAAATGTCTAACCCCTTAAACTACAAACTTTTTTTTTTAGTTTGAAAGATTTGTTTACAAAAATTTTCACTGCTTATACAAATTTACCATCTATATTTTTAACAAAATTTTAACTCACAAAATTGGATTAAAAAGTTTTCAATGAGAATGAAGATTTTGAGAAAAATGTAACTTTAGTTTTTGAATGGAAGAATAAGGGTGTATTTTGATTGATGGTGAATATAATTGATTATAGTATAAATGATTTTGATAGAATTAATTTTAATAGAATTGAGTTTAATAGAATTGAGTATGTAAAATTGATTTATGTTTGAATACATCCATGTAAAAGTGAGTTTAATAATAAATTTTAGTGCAAAAATCAAGCAGAATCAATTCTGAAAGCATAAGCTACAAATTCTATCTTTAAGTAAAATCAATCATAATCAATTCTGAAGGCATAATCAATTTTACTTTTTAAAAACCAAACACATCAAAATTACTCAGAATTAATTCTACATCTCTAGAGTTGATTATGGATTTTCCAAAATTGAAACCAAACATACACTAAATAGGTTTTATATCGGAGACAATGTGAAGAAGTCTTTCAAATGTATTAAAAAATAGATAAAACACACATGGTTTGAATTGGTAAGTGTTTAATTCAAATCAATATTTTTATCTGTGTGATTTGATTCAGATCTTTCGGAATGTTTTTCAGGATTAAAAAACTTTGGATTATTCGAAAGTTAAAACTATTTTGATGTGTTAACCGACCTATTTAACCTTATGGGTTAAATAATCAAACTTCTCATTTCAGCCATTCACCTGATTATCTACAATTATGTAACTAAACAACTACAAAAATGGAGTTTGATAAGAAAGATGGAAGGACTTCACCTTTCGGTCCATCACTTTATATCTGCCTTCGCATGCTTTTCTCTATCAATTTGCCTCATGAGGAGGACCCTTAGTAAATGAATCATCTTGAGGTTAGACTACTTTAGAAAGGAATGGTCAAAGATCGCCTTATAGTCCAACGAAAAAAATTCGGGGAAAGGAAGGCGAGTGGCCGTAAACTTGGTGGCGTCAAAGGGGTCATCACACCACAAAGAGTTTATAGTTGGTGGGTTCCTCTTCGGAGGTGATCTTGGTTGGACCACAACAGTCGCTTGAGTCGCCTTTCCCTCGGGGAAGCATTCAACCTCCCGCTTTTGGACCATCGAGATGGTAGGCCCAGTTGAGGCCTCAGCTTTAAGTTAGCGTTTAATCCCCTCAATGGATTATGTACTCAAGGTGACTCCGAGAGTTGTCTAGGCCCGCACACGGATTTTTTCTCCTGGCGAGGCACTTCTGTAACACCCTTCTAAACCCCAAAGAATATTCACATAATAATTCGATAATTAAATCAGAGTAATACACCAAAAAGGGTGTCACATTTGCTTCAAACAAAATTCATAATAAAATGCATTCAGCTCTGTAACACAAGCTTTAAACAAATCAATTACATTCAGTACTTCATGATTAACATCCATAGCTTTTCAACTTACTCGCAGCGGAAATTCCTAATTCAAAACATCTTTATTAAGATACCTGTAAATAACTTCATCAAATCAAACCAACGTAATTACCACAAGGGTAGTTTAAATATCAAATTAAACAAGATAACATGATTATTCAAAACAAACGGTCTCATCCCCGATGTTACATATCAGAGCAAGCCCCTTTTATTCTATAGGAAATAAAGAACACACTTCGCAGCTATCCTCTAAGCCTCGGCAAACTATTCTTGATTACCAGCAAGTTACCCACGTATAGAGGCAACATTTCCAAGCAGCAAGGGTGAGTAAATCATAACCATTATAAAAGACATAATGAGTAAATATAGTAGTTATAATACAACACCAAAGAAACACACCATCGAAACCTTATGTCATACTCAAAACTTCAAGCATCATAATACACATTAGGCATGTGGTAATACCATCAATTAGAAATTAATACAATCACACATTCATAAAGCATCAGTCAATCAAATCATCATGCAATGCCATATATAATGCAATAAAACTTCTTTAGATTCATGCATGTGGTACCAAAACTTCATTGATGACACCGTCGTCGTTTTCTCCAAAAATTCCCCCAATAGGATCGATTCCCGCTTGGAACCGAAGCACATCACAAATTGCACTCAAATCCACATTATGGGATTAAGGCCATCACTAGACCAATCGTCCTGCAACTTCACTGGACCAAAGTCCTAACAACATCACTAACCCAAGTCCTACTCTTATGCCATGAATACATGATGCTAAACATCTTAATACCAAATGACTATTGCTAGTCAAAAGGCACCACCATTCATATAATCACCATAAATATCAACAAATACATCATAACGCGAAACAACATCATCATAGCATTAACAATTCATTATATACACGCACGTCATACTAAAACAATCTCTGAATCATCTTATTCATTAAAACATAGGTACTGAAAATATACTTCATATTATTCATTTTATCCCACCTTGTCATAGTTCATTGCGTTATCTATCCAACGCTTTGAACGACTCTTCTAACAAAGCTCTAAAACTCAAGTTATGGTACTTTAGAAAACCTGTTGTTGTCTATCGCCTGGTGCTTTCCCGGAGACGCACACTGCTCACTTGAGGCTTGCTCGCCGATATGGGAGCGACAACCCACTAATTCTTCTCTGACATCCATCTCTCAATGACGCATCTTGCTCGCCTGGCGACACACCTCTTTTTCCTGCATCTCCCAATGATGACGCGAGGGAGACACTCTAATAGCTTCACTTTTCTGCCCATCCCTTCGCCTCTAAGTTTGCCCGATGATGACCAGGCGATGTCATCCTCGCCCGACAACACTTCCTATCGCCCAACGATCTTGTGCAAACATGACTTCTCTATTGCGATCTCTGCATTATACCAATCTGATTTTTATACGATTACATCATATTACAAATCTCCAATCATCACAATTTCACTTGGTTTCATCATATAACAACAACATAATTTTCTATACATCATATGCGTTAATTTTTTTTTGCAAGAAAACATCATAATTTCACGAGTTTTCATCAAAGCATCATATTAACATCATCATCCCAAAACTCCAACACAACCTGCAATTATCTAAACCTTAGATCAATTATAATAACAATGATAAACCCCCTTACCTTATATTTTCAACAATTGCTACTTCTTCTTCGTGTTCTAACAAGTTCTCTTCCTCTTCCTCTATGCCCTAGCCTCTTCTCTCTTCTTTTCTTCCAAAAGCTATCGTACATAATGAATCACTCAAAACTCAATATTTTCTATTTGTAAATATTACCCCTTGGACCCATAATATGTTCCTTCTTGAAATCTATAATATGTCTTGAGCACCCACTATCTGAAGGAATATAAAAA